AGATTTGCCACCTCACCGTGGGTGTTGGAGGTATGTCGACGTCTGTCTCCTAGGATATGACGGTTTAGAACCCGCTAACGCAGAAACACCTTCTGCTTAGCTCCGGCAAACTAACAATGGTAGCACTCTCTCACACACAGGAAGAATATATTATAGGAGCAGACTGACTATCATATGAGAGCAAAAATTTTTGTACTTCAACTAAAGAAGATGGTTTCCTTTTATACACAATGGGGAAAAGAGGAGGAGAGAACTTAGCTTATTTTGTGATCATTTTCACAATGTTGAGCATGCCCTTATATAGGCATCTTTGGCAAGATATATGGCAAGGCCATGTGTACCTCATGGCTTCCAAAACCATGTGTCTGTCATGGTTAGGCCATGCGTGCCACATGGTTTCCAACATTAGGCCATTCATCCACACATCCACACCACATGTTATATGCACAACCATCATTCTCAATCTCTCATTCATGAGACCAACTTAATGAAACAATTTTTCATTCAATCCTCAAACCAAAAAATAATATTTTCCAATAATCCCCCACATGAATAAAAATTGACCGAATAAAGAATAATGGGCAACGTTTAACAACAAAGACTCGGAGAGAGAGCACACAGACTAACCCTGCATCAGAAAAGGTAGCTGTTGGCCTTGAACCTTTCGTGGTGAAAGCCTATCGGATTTACTGGCTGACTAGTGAACGTGATGTCTTGAACTGTTCTGTCGTTTGTGTAAACCAAGATAATAGACCTCACATAGGAGTTACTCCAGCCATTGTTCTTGTTCTCACTGGCGTGTCTGGTATGGCCCTGGAACATTAGCCTGGTTCAGTGAGTGTTTTTAAAGAATCGGCCTTGTCAATTCTTAAAGAAGTGGCCTCACTTTGCACTCACATAGGTGACCTACATAAGGTATCTCACTACACCACGATTGATTACTCACTTCACTTAGGTCATTAAAAGCATTAGCTTATCCTTCCACCCTTACAGGGTATTACTATATAAAGGAATGGGCAAGAGGATTTACCTCTTCAGTGACTCATCCGTTACACGCAATTAGGTTATCCCTTTGAATCTAGATCTTGGGATCTCTAGTTAGCTAGGTTAGGTTTTTCGTTCCGGTAACATTAACTAAAGGCCTTAATTCCATTCCCCTTGATAACGTTTCTACTAACTCTCGAGTTAACCCTTTGATTAGCGAATCCGTAATGTTGTCCTTAGACTTTACATAGTCTAGAGAGACAACTCCATTAGAGAGTAGTTGTTGTATGGAATTATTTCTATGACGGATATGTCTAGACTTTTCATTATACATATTATCCTGTGCCCGTCCAATCGCTGATTAGCTATCACAATGAATACAAATAGCAGGCATAGGTTTTGGCCAACGTGGAATATCTTCAACAAATTGGCAAAGTCATTCAGCTTCTTCAGGTGCTTTATCTAAAGTAATAAACTCAGATTCCATCGTTGATCTCAATATACACATCTGTTTAGAAGATTTCCAAGACACGGCTGTCCCTCCAAGGGTAAACACATAACCACCAGTGGATTTGGAGTCCTTTATATCAGATATCTAATTAGCGTCACTATACCTTTCTAGTATCGCTGGGTATTTGGTATAATGCAGCCCATAATCTCGAATGTAGCGTAGATAACCTATCACCCCATATAATGCCCTTCCACCGAGTAGCATTAGGATTACTCATGTATCTACTAAGCCTGATAATAGAGTAGGCTATATCCGGCCTTGTACAGCTCATCAGATACATTAAACTTCTAATGACCTGAGAATATTCTAGCTGACAGACACTCTCATCATTATTCTTGGTCAAATGTAGACTCAAGTCTACCAGTGTCCTAGACACACTCGTATCTGATTTACCTAATTTCGCAAGTATCTTCTTAACATAGTGAGACTGAAAAAGTACAATACCGCCAGATGTCTTGGTAATCTTAATACCCGGAATCACATCTGCAAGACCCATATCTTTCATGTCAAACTTAGAGTTTAACAATCTTTTGGTAGTTTTAATCATCTCATCAGTACTACCAATAATGAGTATGTCATCAACGTATGGACACAAAATGACATAACCTTTGTTAGTGTCTTTGATACATACGCACTTGTCATACTCATTGATCCTAAACCCATTTGACAACATAGTGTTGTCAAACTTCTCATGCCATTATTTAGAAGCTTGCTTTAAACCGCACAATGACTTGACAAGCTTATAGACTTTCTTATTTTGCCCTGGAGCTGAAACTCCTCGGGTTGCTCCATGTAGATTTCTTCATCTAAATCTCCATTTAAGAAAGTTGTCTTTACATCCATCTAAAGTATCTCCAGACCATGTAAACCTGCTATCGTAATCACCATGCGTATGGATATAATCCCTATCACAGGTGAATACGTATAAAAGTAGTCCAAGCTCGCTGCTTGTATCCTTTGATAACTAGCTTAGTTTTATATTTATCAATTGACCCATCAGCCTTTATCTTTCTTCTAAAAATCCACTTGCTCCCTGTTATTATTTTGAGGGCGTTACAGATCAACCAACTCCCAGGTATGGTTCTGTAAGATGGAGTCAATTTCACTTTTAATCGTTTTTTTCCATAAAGGACTTTCAAGTGAAATCCCAGCTTCATGAAAAGTTCGAGGTTCTCCTTCTAACTTATAAGTTAAGAAGTCCGGAGAAGTCCTTGTCCTCTTACTCCTTCTTGGCTCATCTATTTCTTCATCTTGATTACTATCACTAGGATCATCTTTAAGTTCCTTTTCAGAACTTTGATCCTCACCTCGGGTTCGGCAAGGAAACACGTCCTTGAAGGAGGACGCATTCCTTGACTCCATAATGGTATTCTTGTGTACATCTAAAATAGCAGACTTGTGCACAAGAAACCTATATGCACTACTATTCTGTGCATAACCAATGAATATGCAATCCATGGTTTTCAGACCTATCCTAACCCGCTTGGGTGTGGGTACCGCCACTTTTGCAAGACACCCCCACATTTGTAGGAAATTATAAGAAGGTTTGCGGCCTTTCCACAATTCATATTGTCACGACCCAAACCTGCCCCTAAAAGTTTGGACGTGACCGGCCTAACTTGAGGCCTCAACTTTGCTATAATAAATTTTACTCAATATTGGGGCTAGAACGGAAGCAAAATAATAGAATCAAACATTCATTGAGCTGTGACTACATGCCAGGATCTTAATGCATTACCATACATAAGTACATAACATTCCATACACCATTTACATTACGGTTTGTGTGAAAAAGGTAACCACCAAAAAGTTAGGTAATGTCAAAGCGTATACACGTCTATTCCTCCTAATTCCAACAAAACATGCTAACATACAGATTTCCCAAAATTAAGCAAAGAGTCACTTTGGGTGACTCGGCAAAACGGTTTGCAAAAGACTCCTGGGCTGACTTACGGTTGTCCCGTGGGCTGATTACCTACAAAACATTCACAAAAAAATGGAGAGAGCAAGGCTCAGCGAATGATAGTAATATACATAGATCAAGAGTACAAGCATAAGTTAACAATGCATATTCATAATCACAGGTCAGTCTTGTTCGTATTTCCTTTTCTGAACGGCCTCGGGTTCACATAAGACAGAACGGCCTTAGGCCCCTTATAATAGCAAAACGGCCTCGGGCCCAACGAAATGCAAAACGGCCTTAGGTCCATTAGTTTAGTAAAACGGCCTCGGGCCCATCATACTAGCAACCAGAACGACCTCGGGTCCATATCTCATGTGCCAAAGTTCAAACATATCTCAAACAGATCTCATATGACATATGTTATTTATATAGTATGTCTTTTTACTAAAGGAGTGAATAGGGTATCGAACCATTCATATAAACGTAGTACGAGAATGAAACATAACATTACTCTACTATCACTCATAGTGATATGGATGAATGATGGTCCCCTCCTGTACGTGCCCTACACAAAGCATACGACTTGTAAGTACATCAAGTATATCACTTTTCCTTAATTTCCTTTCATTTCCTAGACGTCCGATTCGTTAAGTTCAACGTAATTAAATGCATTAAAGAAGCATCAAATGGACATTTGACACATTCTGAGGGTTAAACAGAACAAAAAAAGGTTACTAAATTTTTCAGCTTGGGCCGCACGTACGGAAGTCCCCACCGCACTTGCGGGCAGGTGCGCCGCACGTGTAGGCCACACGTGCTTTTATTGCAGTGTAGCCCAATCTTCCTCCCCTGTTTTCCGCACATGCGGTTGTGTCTCCCGCATGTGCGGCCAAGGGCCCCGCACGTGCGGTCGTGTACCCTGTTTGACAGTCCGAAGCTGTAGTAAATTCAAGCTTTTTTTTCAAGGCATGCTCAAGGCTTGATCCAAACGATTTCACTTCAACAATATGACATATAATCATAATAAACATGAACCATAAGCTCAAGTAAATTATAACTTACTTTAATTTTCATATTATTTCATCTTTTAATGGTTTATCAAGGAGATACAACATGTAGGGTTCAAAACAAGCAAAACTTGATGATTAGAAGGTATATATCCTCTCAAACTACTCAAAACAACCCCAAATTCAAAAATCAACCTTCTATTAACCAAATCTATGATTAGGTATTCAATTTCATGGAATAAGTTAAACTATGATAATAATTCATAAACCCTAACTTCTATGGGTGTATAACTTCATCCCAAAGCTTGATTCCCAAGAAAAGATGGAGGATTAAGAGTAAATTAGTTAATTCCCACTTACCTTGAGAGCTAAATCTTTACTTTCTTCCAACAATTTCTTCAATCTCCAAGTTCTTCTCATTCCTCCCTCTCTTTTCTCTTCTTTCTTTCTCTCTTGGGTGCTCTCCAAACTTTCCACTCAATATATATGAAGAGATGAGTTCAAAAGGGACTTATGTACATATATATGTATTTAACTACCTTGCTTGCCAAACGAGCCTTACTGAATCAGACGAAATAAATTTTCAATTAAACTTCCCAAATGGCTCTAAAAATCCCCATTATCATATTCATATACTCAATTCCAGTTTATCGCGCCTCTACGGCTTTCAATTTTCAAGTTAAACGTCCTAATTTTAACAGATGTTTTCCCATAACCAACATATAGAATAACATAATTAATGATTCATATATGTAAGCACATCTTCGCATGGAATTTCACATTAAATAAGTAATTAGTCATATAACTAGAAATGTAAAGCATATAAGAGGGTTGGGTTATTACACATACGGAGTCTTGTCTACTTTCTTCCGAGGTATTCTATTTAGAATGTAATTCATGGAGAGAATTGTTTCCCCCCACAAGTCCTATGGCAAACCAGAGCTTATTAACATTGCATTTATCATTTCCTTCAACGTCCTATTTTTTTGCTCAGTAACACCATTTGACTGAGGGGAATAAGGCGCTGTAGTTTAGTGGATTATTCCAGATTGAGCACAAATCTCAATAAACGGCGATTCATATTCTCCACCTCGATCACTTCTTAAACCTTTGATCTTTCGGTTTAGTTGATTCTCAACTTCATTATTAAAAAGAATAAATTTATCAATCGCCTCGTCTTTGCTTTTAAGCAAGTACACATAACAGAATTTAGTGTAATCATCAACAAAAGTGATGAAGTACTTGTTGTCACCACGTGATTGTACGACTTTCAAGTCATACACATCACTGTGCACTAAATCTAAAGGCTCGATACTTCTTTCAATAGAATGAAATGAAGTCCTAGTCAATTTTGCTTCTACACAAGTTTCACACTTGTGATTTGGATTAATCTTGAAAGTTGGTATGCGATCTAATTTGATTAATCTATGCAAAGAATCAAAATTTACATGACCAAGTTTACCATGCCACAATTCAAGGGACTCATGTAAATAAGCAGAAGAGGAAGATTTCTCATTCATTTTTTTTTTTGGGGATAATAGTCATTACAATGAGCTTAAACATACTGCCCGACATATACCCCTTCCCTACATAGACTCCGCTCTTGGTCAACACGACCTTATCAGACTTAAACACCATGCGGAAGCCATGCTTGCTTAGGAGAGATCCTGAGACAAGGTTCTTATGAATGTCTGGCACAAATAGGACATCGTTCAGAGTTAGTTCTTTTCCTGAAGTTAAGGCACCAAAACAAGTTTGGTCCAAACAAGTTACTTTGAAGTCAATAGTCTTACTATTAGGAAACACAGATCCAGTGTTCAATAATTTACTATTTGGAATTTCATATTATGGTCAGTAGTCTTATTACTAGGAATCACTAATTTCTTAGCATGTGGTCACTAGACTTTTCACTACTAGGAATCACAATATCTTGACGTGTGATCAGTAGTCACTCCACTATTAGGAATCACAATGTCTTGACATAGGATCAGTAGACTCTTTCATTACTAGGAATCATCATGTCTTGACGTGTGATCAGTAATCTGTTCACTGCTAGGAACCACAATTTCATAATTGTGTAGCCAGTGGTCTCCCTAAGAACCACCAGTTTTTTTCTGTCTCTGTGATCAATGATCTTGCACTCACTAGGAGCCACCAATTCAAGAATATATTCAGAATTATAAAAATTCAAAAAATACATTCACTCACCCTAACGGGTTGTCTCATTTTTGCTCTTAAGTAAAGTCACATAGCAATCATATATGCTAACCCAAGGATAACATACTACTGGGCTGTGGCTCACCCTATATGGGAATATCATTTTCAGGTACAGGAAGCATGCCACCTCCAAGGACATAGCTTGGGAGGCTAGGACTGGACATACTTTTGTCATATTACTTTTGATGTATTACATGTAGATTCAAGCCAAGGGCTTAATATGTATGAGTTAGTACTCCTTTTGTTGTAACCAAGTGTTAACTTGGAAAGCTGTAAGCCCGTAGGGCATTTGCTTTTGTTGTTAACATGTAATACTCATGTAATGGAATCCTGATAAATGAAAGAATGAGGAACTTTTGAATATCAATGCATGTCTTATTTGTTGGGTTAAATGTTATTATTTTGAGGGCGTTACAGTTAGATTATCTCCCCTACAAAAAATGACTTTAGCGATGAGAATATTGTCATATGGTATCGCAGCAGATGTAGTTGATGATTATATACGTATCGGGGAAAGCACTACAATTCAAAGTTTGCAACAATTTTGTAATTCAGTGATTGAAATCTTTGGACCAAAATATCTGAGATCTCCGACACCAACTAATATTGCTAGATTACTTGCTACTGGGGAGGTTCGGGGGTTTCCGGGTATGTTGGGAAGTTTAGATTGCATGCATTGGGAGTGGAAAAATTGTCCAAAGGCATGGCAAGGTCAATACGTAGGCCATCAAAAAAAAGCCAACCATTGTTCTTGAGGCAGTAGCATCTTATGACTTATGGATTTGGCATGCATTTTTTGGAATGCCTGGCTCACACAATGACTTGAATGTGTTGGACTGATCACCTTTGTTTTCTGATCTTGCGCAAGGTAAAGCTCCCCCTGTCCATTACACTATTAATGGACATAGTTATAATATGGGTTATTACCTTGCTGATGGTATATACCCTAAATGGGCAACACTAATTCAAACAATTTCTTCTTCCCAAGGAGCAAAGAGACAACATTTTGCAATGATGCAAGTGTCTGCCAGGAAAGATGTAGAGCGGGCATTCGGAGTCCTTCAATCTCGATTCGCAATTACAGGTGGTGCTGTACGTTTTTGGGATCCGAAAATGCTTGCCAACATAATGAAGAGTTGCATTATATTACATAATATGATTGTCGAAGATGAGAGGGAGGAGCACCTTGATTTCGATTATGAAATTTCAGCAACCAACGCACCAATGCAACTTTTCTCTACTCCTACCAATGACTTCCAATCATTTTTGTCTCGTCATTTAAGTATTAGAGATAAGGATGCATATCATGCCCTCCGTAATGATTTAATAGAATATATGTGGCATCTTCATGGTGAAAACTAAATTCACCACATCAATACATGTAATTTTGTTTATAGTTTTGGAATGGAAGGTTGTCTTGTTTGTAATCTTCATTATGATGCACTATATTAACCAAGTAGTTCAGAAGTTATGTGATGATGTGCTATTGTGATGATCCAATCTTTAATATTCAGAATTGTTCTGTGTTCAATTCATGAGAATTACAAATGATAATAATCATGTCTTAATCAGTTACAAATGATAATACCACATAAATTTAATAATCATGTCTTAAATTCTGTGTTCAATTCAGTATTGATGTGCCACAAATGATAATACCACATACATTTATGCACATTTAATAATCATGTCTTAAATGATAATTTAATAATCATGTCTTAAATTTATTCAATTCAGTGTTCAATTCAGTAATGATAATACCACAAATGATAATACCACATATTTATATGAACATGTCTTAATCAGTTACAAATGATAATACCACATTAATTTCTTCACAATTCATATTTATTGATATGCCACATGATTTTATTCAGTATACGAATTTATTGATGTGGCATACAAATTTATTCAGTACATATATTCAGTACATATAAGTTCATGTTTATTGATGTGCATATACAAATTTATTGATGTGCCATTCATTTATTGCCTAAGTTGAAATGCATTCAACTTGCAGAGTTAAAAACTACTTAATAATGTTGCCATTCATTTAGTCAGTGGATAAATGCATTCCACCTACATTCATGGCATACTACAGAGGTGGCATACGTTTCAACCACCTACCATTCATTTTACACACACCACCTACCATTCATTGAATTCATTCCACCTACATGCCTCATTTTACACACACCACCATTCATTGAATTCATTCAACCAATTAGTTGACTATTAATTCCCTCCACCACCTACCTCAATAATTCACCCTCTATATCAGCTCAAGATTGTACAAAAACTTGCCATCACCAAATTCACTCTATTCACTGAAGACCTCTGTCACGACCCGAACCTGCCCCTATGGGTTAAGGCCATAACCGGCCAGTAATCACGAGATTACCTACGGCCTCAAACCAAATAAGACAAAACTCATCAAAGTAAAAGGGGCCAAACAGAAGCAAATTTAAAACTTTGTCCATAGAGCTGTTCTTATATGCACATTAAAACAAACCATACACATATACATGTTAATAACTTACGTCAGAAAATATAGTACATAAAGTTCTGTACAGACAGGATCATACACATCTAGGTCAGCCAATCAAAACTATATACAAACATAAACCAAAGTCTTCGTCGACATGACAAAATAACATAAAATAGCAAAAGGGCGAAGGCGTGTCTCGTACGTGAGACGCAAGGGCTAACTCTTCAAAACCTTGGTTGTTCCATACTGACTTCACTGAGGCTGGGTCTGGACCTCTCTTGGCTCACCTACAAACACACAAATAAGCGTGAGCGAAAGCCCAGTGAATAATATCAAATAAGGAAGATGCATTGGAACAATATACATCAAACGGCCTTAGGCCCAATTCATATTTCTGTCTAATACATACATATATCAAATAACTGCAATTTCAAACACATCAGACGGACTCAGGCCCAATCTATTCATGTCAAACTAGCCCTTGGCCCATTTGTCTTTTATTCATGTCAAACTGGCCTTTGGCCCATTCATTCTTTCATTCAGATCATACTGGCCTTTGGCCCATTCATTCTATCATTTAGATCATACTGGCCTCTGGCCCATTTATTCAGATCATACTGGCCTCTGGCCCATTCATTCTATCATTCAGATCATACTGGCCTCTGGCCCATTCATTTTATCATTCAGATCATATTGGCCTCTGGCCCATTCATTTTATCATGTCAAACTGGCCTTTGGTCCATTCATTCATTCGTGTCAAACTGACCTTTGGCCCATTCATTTTGCATAGCAAACATTGTCCACTAATCGAATTAATGAACTTATAAAACTTACATAGAAGTAAGCAATTGGACAACAACATATTTCAGACATCTTTGTTAAGATATTACTCACAGTGATCGGGTTGTGGATTTGCCCTGGAGCTTGACCCTACACATCACATGACACATATGGGTCACAAATGATTCAATCCGTTCTGTAATTCACATATTCCTCTTTAGGCTTCATTCTTATCTCTTTAACTTAATTACAATGCTTAATGCATGCCTAAGAGTGCTTGCAAGTGAAAGAGAACGGAAAACGAAACACAGAACGAGCATATAAAATTTTCAGAAACAGGGTCCCCGCTCGAGCAGACCCATAAGGCCTGCAAAAGTACTGGTTATGTCATTTCTACGCTCGATCGTGAATTCTGACGCTCGAGCGGAAGGCCTCACTTACATGGTTCCCCGCTCGAGCGTAAACTTCCCCGCTCGAGCGGACACCATGTCTGCAAAAAGTACTGGGAGCACGTATTTCTCGCTTGAGCGGCGGTTCCCCCGCTCGAGCGGACAAAAAAAATTCTGGGTTTTCCAAAACGGTTCTTGAGCTCAAATTCAATATTCCAACCAACAATTCTTGCATATTATGGCTCAAATTTCACATATACATGTACTAACATGGTACCAATACCAAATTACAACACAATGAAGCTCAATTCCTTGAATTACTTACATGCATGCCTCAATTTGACCTAAACTCATCACCAACACATTAAATCCAAAAATTCAAACTCACACCTCCATGATTTGCATATGCATGTGGGAGATACCCATTATTCTCAACTTAGTTGGTGAAGAGATGATTAAATACATAGACTTTAATCAAAATTCAACATGAGTCATGTAATTCAAGCTCAAATATGCAAATTCAAAACAATTACATACATGCATGCATATATTGACCTTCAATCCAACAAGATCAACTCAACTCTTTAACATGAGCTACCACACTACTTGAATTCACAATATTACAACTTAAACTCATGGATTTACTCACCTAGGAGCTTTAATCCTTCCAATTTATGTTCAATTCTTGAATATAGCTTCAAGGTCACCAAGTTCTCTAGCCAAAACTCTACCTTGAGCCTCCGCTCTCACTAAATTCGGCTCTTCTCTCTCTCTCTAGAACATAAATCATCCAAAGTGAAGCAAAAAGAGAGAAATTGAGGATGTAGTGCCCTTTAAATATAAGTCCCATAATCATATTTACCAACATTACATATTTGAGCACTTAGTCATTAATTAAATCAATTTAATCTGATCCGAATCAATTTTCAATCAAATTTCACCGTAGGCTCTAAAAATTATGCCAATCACAATGGCGTAATCAATTTCGGGTTCTGTGGCCGATAAGGCCTTCAATTTAAATTCCAAAGCAGATAATCAAACAGATATTTCTACGGTGAACAGATAGAAATTCAAAACCACATATTTTCACATAATGGCACACAAAATCATATCAAACACACAATTATATTCATTTTAAGGACCAATTAGCATAATATGGAACAGGGTTATCACAGTCTTCCCTCATTTAGAAAGTTTGGTCCTCCAAACTTATTTTACCTTCGTCGGGAAACAAATGTGGATAGCGTAGTCGCATTTCCTCCTCTTTTTCCCATGTAGCATCCATCCCATAGCGTTCTTTCCGTTCCACTTTCACCATTAGGATGGATTTGCTTCTCAACTGTTTCACTTGCCGGTCAACAATTCGTTCCAGCCATTCGGCGTATTCCATATTTTTATCCAAAGCTACCCGGTGATAATCAATCACATGAAACGGGTCTCGAAGGTAACCCCTCAACATCCACACATGAAACACATTATGGATTTGTTCAAATCCCGGTGGCAAAGCAACTCTATAAGCAACTGGACCAAGCCTTTCTAGAATTTGGAATGGCCCAATGTAACGAGGCGACAACTTGCCCTTTTTCCCAAATCTGACTTGGCCTTTCATCGGAGAAACACGGATGAACACATGGTCACCAACCTCATACTCAAGAGGTCTTCTCCGAACATCTACATAATGCTTTTGTCGGTCCTGAGCTGTTTTGAGCCTTTGCTGAATGGTTTTGATTTTCTCAGAAGTGTCTTGCACAATTTCAGGCCCAAGTAAGGCTCTATCCCCGACTTCTGTCCAACAAATCGGTGATCTACACCTTCTACCATACAAAGCCTCGTATGGTGCCATACCGATGCTGGAGTGGAAGCTGTTATTATATGCAAACTCTACAAGTGGCAAATAGTCTTCCCAACTCCCTTGAAAATCTAAAGCACACATTCGAAGCATATCTTCCAAAGTCTGTATTGTTCGTTCTGATTGCCCATTTGTCTGTGGGTGGAATGCAGTACTAAATCTCAGTTCTGTCCCCATAGCTTCCTGCAAACTTTTTCACAATCTAGATACAAATTTCGGATCTCTATCCGACACAATAGATATCGGAACTCTGTGTAAACGGACAATCTCATCAACATAATAGTAGCCAATCTATAAGCATTAAATGTAGTTTTGACAAACAGAAAATATGCAGACTTAGTCAGTCTATCAACTACAACCCAAATAGAATCCATACCTCAAGGAGTCCGAGGTAGGCCAACAACGAAATCCATAGTCACATGCTTCCACTTCCATTCAGGAATAGGGAGGGGTTGAAGTAGACCACCCGATTTCTGATGTTCAGCTTTAACTTGCTGACACTGAAGACATTTGGACACATATTTTGTAATTTCTTTCTTCATTTTAGGCCACCAATAGCTTTGTTTCAAATCCCGATACTTTTTATTGTTGCCCGGATGCATGGCAAACACTGATTTATAGGCTTCATCTAAAACCCTCTTCTTTAGTTTCGGAATATCTGGAATACACACTCGGTTCCGAAATCTCAACATTTCGCCTTCAAGGCTAAACTCTGCTTTCGGACTTGTCTCAAATTCATCAATCACTTTCCTGAGGAATTCATCCTTTTTTTGTTTCTATTTGATTTCTTCAATGATTGCCGGTTCGGTTGAAATAGCGGCTATCAATCTGCCCTGTTCACATAATACCACTTCAA